CACACAAGGGGGTTAAGTGCTCGGCCTTGAGTGGCGAGTTGAGTGTTCAGCCTTGAGCGGGGGGGCTTGGGCGTTTGGGCTTGAAGCAAATAGTTGACAAAGAACCAGACAGAGGGTTTGAGTGGCCAGGTCAACCTGCAGCTAACTTTGTTTGGCATGCCCTGCAGACAACTTACTCAGCCTGTCCTGCACCTAACAACTGTGGTTTGTTGTTTACATTCAAAATTATAGAAAATGCTAATTTTCAACTAGAAATTTAAAAAGTTAAAAATTAATTTTCCCCTATCCACTATCAAAGACTCGTTTCAAGGATCAAATACCTTTGCTCTAAGGAGATAATAAGAAATGAAACACCAATATCTTGGTAGAAGCAAGAGTGGAGAACATTTGATAGGAGCATGTAAATTTTCTTGGACAGAAGCCTGAACTAAGTCAGCAGGCAAATGAGTTTCCATAATCCCAGCAAAATCCAATTATCTTCAAGTTCTGCTTTCTATACAATTTTTTTTTTTTTTGGAAATTTCCAAGGACATAGCAAGAGCCTACAGATTTGTTCTTTTTTTCTTTATAATTAATTAAGCATTTTGTCATACATTACCTTGGGATGATAGATACCTTCTGATGTGTATGTTTTTTAAGGTCCTGATGAGATCGGAAGATCTATGAACAGGAGTGGTACACATTTTTCTTTTGTGGAGTTTCAGTAACATTTTTAGGTAATAATGAATGTGTTTTTAGGAAGTGGTTGTCTAATTAAAGCTCCCTAGTAGACTTACATAAAATTTGGCAACCTGGCAAATTTCAAAAACGTGCTTGGTTAGCAGAATGTGGGGTTTTTTTTTGGGGGGGGGGTTACTATGGGTTGAACTCAGGGGCACTTGACCACTGACCAAAATCCCCAGTCCTATTTTGTGTTTTATTTAGAGACAGGGTCTCACTAAGTTGCTTAGCACCTCACTTTTGCTGAGGCTGGCTTTGAACTTTTGATCTTCCTGACTCAGCCTCCTGAGCAGCTGGGATCATAGGCATGCACCACCATGCCCTGAGCAGAATGCGTTTTTTGAAGTAGTTTTCAGAGTAGGATATATGAAAAGATTCTTGGTCTGAGAGAGATGATTTACTTTTTTTTTTCCTCATCCACTAACCAATTGTGTGATCCTGTGAAAGTAACCCTGGGTCTCAATTCCGTCCTTTGTGAGATGGAAGTCTTGGATAGCACCTCTCTAATGTCTCTCCCATCTTTAAAAGTTTGTGAATCAAAAAACTTAGGTCACCTTCATTGACATTACTAAAGCTTAGCACTTCATTAGGACTGAATTCAAGTTTCCAGGATTATTCAACTTTTCCGAATAGTTTAAGACTGTAAATGCCTAGACACTAAGACTTTCTTGAAAAGGTAACTCATGACTGTATCAAATACCCACTAGTAAGACACATGCCTTCTTGTCAAAAATCTCATTTGAACTGATATGGTCTCCAATCCTCAACAAAAGAGATGAAAGCAGGATTAGATGGTAAGGTCCTTGGAAACATTTTGATGAAAGTATGCTGTGAACTTTTTGACAATGTTCTCGCAAGAACTATAGCATTTTGATGACTTACCCTAAGCACTTGAACAGAAAGGGTCATGGTAACAGTATCCATCAGTTATCTCTTAGGACGACTTTGGTGGCATTTCCTGAAAGTTGTGGAGAGTGACTTGCACCCTTACTTTTTTGTCTTTGAAACTCTGGATAAAATATCCCATCCCTTCACTACCCTCCAATTTCCCTGTTCTGCCTTACTCATTCTAGCCTGTCAGACATGGTTTGTTCCACAGCACCTGCCTCCCCATGGGGAACCTGCCACAGTCTAGCTGGGCACAAAATCATGAGCCACTCACAGCCTTGTAGATTCAAACAGCAATTCTTTTTTCCCGAACTCTCACTGGCACTCTACACGCACGTTCTGGGAAAATCCACTACCTCCACAGGCTCTGCGTACCAAAATACCCTCTCAATCCCAGAGAACTCAACGGGAACTCAAGGAGTGGGCGCCTGAGGCAGCAGGATAGCCCTATTCCCAGCAGGATCCACCTTAAACCCGGATCCGCCCTAATCCCTGAGCAAGGTCACCTTTCATGCAATGTCACTGAAAATGACCTGGGTCCAAGGCAAGTCCATTTCCACAATGGATAGTCCTTCCTCTAAGCAACATTGGGTAGGCTGACAAGGAAATTGCCATGCATCATACCTACTTGGCTATGGCTCTCAGCAGGAACCCAGTCCTCACTTTGACCTGCAGGTGTCTGAGAAATATAAAGCAGGGTAAGGTGTATGAAGATCCTTAAGAGAACCTGAGGGTTGGGGATGTTGCTCAGTATAGAGCACTGGTCTTGTAGCTCCAGGCCTTGGGTTCAATTCTTACAAAGCTGGGAGCTGCATATTCAGCTTCAGGAAGAATAAAATTGCAGCAAGAAATTTAGACTTGAATGTTATTTCTTGCATCTTTTTGTTTTGTGTTTTGTTAAGAAATATATTTTGTTCATCCACTTATTTTTATTTGTAGATGGACACAATACCTTGAATTTATTTGTTTTTATATGGTGCTGAGGATCGAACCCAGTGTCTCACATGTGCAAGGCAAGTGCTCTACCACTGAGCCACAACCCCATCCCTCATCCACATATTTTTAAATGGTCACTATCCAATTTAAGATTTGTAGTAAACATTATAGCTTAAAGATGAACAAAACATTGCCTAATCCTCAAATAACTCATAGTCTAAGTACAGAAATTGCATTATAAGCATGCTGTAGACTGAATGCTTATGTCCTCTCAAAAATCATGTATTGAAAACTAATCCCCAGTGCGATAGTATTAAAAGTGGGGCCTTCTGGGAGGTGACTAGGATTGGTACCTTTATAAAAGAGGGTCTAAGGCGTTTGTTTGCCTCTTTACCATATGAAGACAAGGCAAGAGAATGGTTCCTCACTAGAACCTCAGTCTGGTGAAAACTTGATCTTGTAGTTCCCAGTCTCTAGAACCATGAGGAATACATTTCTATTGTTCTAGTCAGTGTAAAGTATTTTGGTACAATAGCTTCTATGGACTATGAAAAGGTGATAGGTTGAACTTTAAAATTTAAACTAGTAAAACATGCAAAAATAAAAGGTGTAATCTTTCAAAAATTTATTCACTGATATATTGAATGGAATATATAAACTATAGAACATTCTAAGATTGATGCCTATCTCTCACTGGGAAAATGTGACTATGCCTGTTTTATCAGGCAGTTTTGCCTTAGGACTATGATAGCTATTTTGCTGCCACCAAAAAACTTGATCTGCTCACCCACAATTACATTTCCCCTCCAAGGCTTCCCTTCTTAACTACTCATCTCACTTTCTCTATTGGATTCCTGCTTATTCTAGAAGGTACAACCTAATAGATGAAGAGATTAAGAATGATAATAAAATATTGTGATTTGCTTTTTTCCTACGTTTTAAAAATCATTTTAAAAGAGATTACTCTTAAGTCAGTATTGAAAAAGGATCAATAAACACATATACTCAACAAATTATATAGTCATTTGTAAATAATCAACATGTGTTTCCACTTCCATTCAGTATCAAAACCAACCAACCCAAAAGGTTGAACAAAAAAAAATTACAGATGCTATTTGCAATCTTCACAAAATGGAGAAATAACATCTTCAATGAAAAAAGGGTTGATGGGTCGTTTTCATACTATGCTATGAAGGAATCACCCCAAATGAAGAACATGAGAGGGAGTCCATATTTTTTAAATGATTAGTTTTATCCAGGATCTTAAGGACCCCAAGAATCCAGCATACTAGCCATATTTTCTAAATGTTCTATCAACTATTTTTTTTTCTATCAACTATTGAGATAAGTTTTAAAACTTACTTTTCTTTGCAACTGAATACAAGTTGACTATTTTTATCCACAGTGCTTAGGACTAGAAGTGTATCAAATTTTTGATTCTAGAGTATTTGCAGACTTTACTGGCTGACCATTCTTTACTTAAAAATTAAACTACGACATGCTCCAAAGTCCGAAATGTTTTGGAGGATCATGTCAGTGTTCAAAACTTTTTTGACTTCTAACCATTTTGGATTTTCTACTACTACTGGATTTCTGGCCACTTTTAATTTTACGATTAGGGATGTTAGCTTTCATTTTATATACTTTGATAAGCACATACACCTCTGATTTTTGTCCCCTTAATTATCATTATGAAATTATTCTCCTTAATCCTAGGACATATTCTTTCCTCTATCATCATCTTCTTTATACTAGGTTTGAACTTAATGGTAATTTTGCATTTGCAGAAAATTCCCTGCTCAAAGAAACAGCAAATATTTTGTGTTCCTAGTCCTTGGTTTCCATTTTGTTCAATGGGATTTTCTGAATGAATTCTTGACATATTAACACAAGATGTTCAGGGGACATTAACTCACTGATTAGGAAGAATGTCAGGATTTAATCTTGAAAATATCACATAAGGAGTCTAGTTGAAATGAGAAGTGTTTCAAGGACCACAGACCTAATACCAAATTTTGTGTGCAGATGTCTTGAATATTATTCAGAGAGTTGAAGAATTTTAGATCTTCAAAGGATGTGAGAAATCTAATTCTGCTGACTTTGCTGTATTTGGGAAAACTAACAGAGGAGGATGGGTAGGGCTAATTTTCTTTACTTGATGGACAGTGCAGATTGCAATGATGAGGGAACCAGAACCCCAGTTTCCTAACTCTACATCACCCTGTGCCTCTGGCTTTTACAATCTTCACACCTTTTCAATTGCTTGTCTATGGACTTGCGGGAAGCAGAAAAAAATATAAATTGAGGGAGGAAAATCAAATGAGTTCATCTTCTCCAAATGTTCAGATCTTAATGGCAGTTTCTGTTAATTTTTAATGATTTGCCTATTCACCTGTAAAAGTAATCTTTTGGTTACAATTTCCTTGGACACAGTAATTATTTTCAGTTTCCAATGTGGTATGGATATTTTTTCTTTTATCACACAAAATTGTACTTGTTAAATAATTTTAATGGGTGGGATACATTATTATTTTTTGCCATAAGGTTACATTGACTAAGAATATGTAGGCTGTCAGCAGAGGACGTATAGTGTCTAGGATGTTACAAGCACATATTCTAAGAATGTTCTGAGCACATCTGATTCACTATTACAATTCATGATTTCAAAAGATAAAGAACTATGTAAGTTAGACATCATTGAGACTTGTTAGATGACATGACACTGTAATATTCCAATATTCTGATGGTCGCTATTTTGGATAACAGATTGACAACTGATTTTGATGTTTTTTTCAGTACTGGGGATTAAACCTGGTGCTTGAGTCTGTTAGGCAAGAGCTCTTCCATTAAGCTACATTTTCAGCCCAGATTTTAATTTCAGTACAATTCTTTCATCTATTCACCCATTAACTCCATTAGTTAGGGATACTTATTATGCACCAGGTTTTATATATTTGTATAAAGAGCTCTTACCATTAAAGAGCTTAACATCTTTTGGGGGAGATGAACAAGGAAATAACTAAAAACAAACATCATTGTTAATTTTGTATTGAAGTCCATATTCCAATCAGATCTTTTGAAGGTGAACGCTATCTAATTAGGAAAGGCAGTAATGTTATTTAAAAAACAAGAAGAAAGCACAAAAGCACATCTGAAAAACTTAGGGTTCCCTAGTGATGTGGGACACCCTCTCCAATATTATACATTGATCTACTGCAACAGTTACTTAAGTCCTGATTTTTATCTGCTGAACTCAAGTCCCTTTGATTTCAGGCCATAATCCAGTATGTTCCAAACATCAAGGGTCCAATTATATTGAAGTTCATACTCTGTGTTCCCTATCTAGCATCCATAATTAGAAGTTAGTGCTCAAACAATGGAAAAATCTAGCTGCTCTGCTCCCCACAAATACAAGGAACAGCCAACAATGCTGATAACGTGGGATTCACTCATAACACCTCACTGGTGATTAACTTATATGGATATGAATACTTTTAATAATCTGAACTAGGCAGTCTGAGCTTAGAAATAACTATTAGCAGTGTAACTTCAGGCAGATTGATTATCCTACCTGTGGCTCACTTTATTCACCTGTGAAATAGGGATGTAGGACATACCTTCCAGGTCTATGCTCTAGTTTTCACTGTCCATTAATGAAGTTTCCAAAGTGTCATCCTCAGAACTTTCTAGCAAGTTCCCACATCACTGGGAACTACTTCCTCTGGGGAATCTCTCCTCCCAGCTTCCCAATCTTCTTGATTTGGGAAGAGGTAACCCCCTCAAACATTAGGGACGATCAGACTTTAGGAATTAGCTAAAGTATCTGAAAACTCAAAAAGCTGGGTCCTATCCTGAAAATTTCTGATTGGGTAGGACTAGGCAGGGCCTGAGAATTATATTCCTAACACTCACCCTTTGAGAACCACTGGTCAAATACTATATATGGTATACCTCTATTGAATATGTCCATTTCCTCCCCATTAGAATGTATAAAGTCTATGAAGCAGAGATTGTATTTTTTTGTTTTGTTTTCTGCTATTTTTCTTGCAAGGAACAATACTAGGTAGATAGGAGCTGCTCAGTGCATACATGTTGAATGAACAAATGAAAATTGCTTATTCTAGTATAACATCAGAAAACATATCCTAATTTTATCATCAGATTTTATATGAAGAAAGAAAAATACAAAGTTAGAAAACATCATTACAGTCAGTCTCCTCATGCAAGAAAGCATTTGTAAGCCTTTGGCCACAAAGACAAGTGAAATTTCTAGATATTTAGGAAATAAATTATTATTAATAACTTATATTACATTACTATAGCATTAAAATGAACAATGATAAACACTTATGGAATGCTACCAGGTGCTAAGCACTTCATGTATTATTATTATAAAACTCTGAGGTGGCTAATGGTGTCATTTCCATTTTACAGAAAGGGACTCTGCTGCACCAAAGATCTGGCTACTCAGTGGACTTCATGCTTTCCATGATGTCTCCTCCTCTCCATGTGCTCTCCCCACTGGGAACCAACAAGGGTGTCAAATAGGGGGCAAGTTTGACCTTGTAGAGTGCAGACTTGTTAAGGTTTGAATTAAAATGTGTTTATATCTTTTAAAAAGGTCACCCTGACCAGTTTTTAATTGCAATGGTATCCTACACAACTAATATTAGAGTACTGGATTTCCAGATGCAAATGCTTAAGACTACAAATGTCTACATATCTTATGAAAAATCCGAGAACGTTTTTCCAGAGGTAAGTTTTTTTGGGAACTTTTTTTGGTGATTATTTAGAATAGTTCATTAAGTTTGAATATTTATTCTACCAACCCTGTACAAAGGCAAGCATCACATTTACGCAGGAAAAAGCCGACAGATAATTATGAGTTAGTGATTTATTTTCTTTCAAATGGGCAGTTAGATTAGATGTTGGCAAACCTTTTCTTAAGGGGCTAGACAGTAAACATTTTAGGTTTGCAGGCTCCAAACTCTGTAGTTGTGGTGAGCAACCACAGATCAAAAAAATGAATAAGGATGGTTTTATTGCAATAAATTCTTAACACAACAATGTGAATAGCCCAGGGGCCACAGCTTGCTGACCCCTAAGTTAAAAGATTACGATCCAAGTAGCATAAATGAAATTGACCAGATAAATTTCTGGTAAATTTGTCAAATTCATTAAAAATTTTTTTTTTCTTACTAAAGAAACATCTATATTCCTGTATCTAAATATAAATACTTAAAAAAAAAAACCAAAAAACGAATCTACCACACAAATCAAAACAGACATTTGGCTTTGTAATAAGTTGAACTAGTTAAAAGAATCCTTGTATTTATTTTTTTCATAGCACAAATGTAGGAGGTGACATAGTAAGTCCATAATTCCTCACAAAATTATCAACTTAAAACCAAGAACCTAAAGTCCTATAATTTTCTGCATCATTCCATCCATACACTCTGTGGATTCCATCCCACAACAGCAGAGAACCTTAATTTAAAGCACCAAGTTTCCAGGCTACATTTCCCCCCCGCCCCATTTTTTAATACATGCAGTCAAACTGCCTAAGAAACAAACACCAATTCACCTTACACTTCAATGCATCAGAGGAAGCATTTGGGAAACCAATTTTATTCTTTAAAAGTCATTCTACTTTTCAAACTTACATTTCCTTCCATGAAGTCTTAAATTTTTAACGTATTTATATCTAACATGAAAATAATTGAGTTTTTAATATAATCTCTTGGACTCATCTAATATTTTTAGATGTTCATATTTGTTTTATTAACCTTGAAGAGAACAAAAACAATCTCTAATCTAGAAATATTTTTAATTTAAGTTAAATTTAGAATTTTATAGCAAAGAAATATGGTTTGTGTGTCCAAGTATAGACTTAAAAAAATACCCTTAATGTAAGTAAATTAGAAAAACTTATTCCCAATAAAATTTTACAAAGTATGTTTTCATTTTTGGAAGGATGAACCAGTTCAATGGGCATTTTGGGGACATTGATAACACTGACCCTAGGAACTCAAGACTTGTTTACTGGAATAAATGAAAACTGGCAGAGGCTGTTGCTGAGTGCTTCAATAGGAATTAGACACACACAGATTTCACTGTCATTTTAAATGGAATTGAAGTCTTTCTTAAAAGTGTGCTCCTGATAGGCTGAAGATAAAGTAATGGACTGGTAGTTCCTTATGCCAAAAATACACAGATCTGTCATACAAAGGCTTCATTCTCTGCCTGTAGTCAGTAACTTGAGAGCCTTCTGGAGATTCTGTACAGCAGTGCTTACATCTTCATACTGCAAAGCACTGCCAGCATATTTGCAGTATTTCTGAGCTCTAGCAAAGTCCTCTGGAGTTAGACGGACGTCCCCTAGAAAAAAATAATAATTAAGATATTTATTAGATTATAGAAAGTGCTGTTAGGCATGTGCTTACATTCAAAATTAATGAACATATTTAAGGTTACATAAAAACATAAAGTTGTTTTCTTAAACTCAAGTGCATTTTGATCACTTTACTTCATTCTTTTCAATATTTTATTACTAATACAAACCACAGATATGGCAACATAGTTGTGAAAGATTTTCCTTCATGAGGTATTAAACTAGAATTCTTTATATTTTAGCAAATTAACTGCAAAAGTTACAGTCTGTGCAAAACAAGAAAAGTAGCTTTGGTGTTCATGCTAGAATTGCTGAGCCTTTCTCTTCATGGAACAATACACCCAGACTAAACTAGTCAACCCTCATTTGAACTAGAATATAAATATAACCCTCAATATAGAAAGGTGAATAATGTACTTTATATAAAAATTACATGTCACTTAACTTTTTCTTGCATGAAAATATCTTATGTTTTTGTACCATCTATGGAAAAATTCTTAAGATTTTCAAAACTTTTTAACATTACTATAAACAATTAAAACATGAAAACAACCATTATAAATTCTTTCTCCAGAATTTATCCCTAGTAAGTTTTCTAGCTCCACATATATGATTAATATGTATAGAGCCCAACTAAATAATTTGGGGAAAATATTAATCTAAGATATGAATATACTTGCATGTATATTTCTAAAGACAGGGTAAATACCTGGCATTGTTTCTTATCATTTGAAATAAGCAACTTGTCATTTGAAATAAAGACTCTAAGGAGTACTGATTAGTTTTCTTAAACTCAAGTGCATTTTGATCACTTTACTTCATTCTTTTCAATATTTTATTACTAATACAAACCACAGATAGATTAGAGAGGGCTGGGGTCATAAGACCATGAAGAGCAGATGACATATTTCAATTCTGTTTATAAGGCTATATTTTTAAAGCAGAATAATTTTTTTAAAGCTGTTTTAAATTTTGCTGTAGATAGACATAAAATGAAACTCTTGACATTTCCTAGGTAAAGAGGTAGCAATGCCAGGTAAACTGATATCAAATTTTGATTAATATAATTATTGCTTTCTAAAATTTTCAAATAGTACTAACACAACGTATCTCAAGCTTTTATCTCAGTGCCAGATACCTGCAGGTACTCAGCTCGATAATTTTACTGAATGAGCACCAACAAGTTGTCTATACTTCTAGTATTTGTTGAATTATTATTAAAGATTGCATAAAATTTGGTCCTTTTATTGTGAACCACATATTACACATTCTAATTATAATGAAAATTATTTTTCTCCATAATTCTTTTAGTATTTTAGTGGACTTGGAATTTGTTTCCCATCAAATCTAAAAAAAAAAAAAAATCTGTCCTTCAGTTCTGTTTACAATTTAGTAAGCACACTTTAGTTTAATTATTTATTTTTCTTGAAAAACACCGATCAGATTCTTAATTATTCTTTTTCAAAATAATTAAGAGACTTTAGTCACTTGCATGTATACACCATGTAGGTAAGGCACTTTTGATAAACAGCTTCCCTTACTTAACACTACCCATTCGTGCTTTAATACTCTATCCTACCATCTTAGGGCAACCTTTAAAATATGCAGGGCCTACGTCCAAAATTTACTGGACCTGCTGGAAGAAAGCCCTAATGCTCAAACTAATGTCACTTTTACAGCATAGCTTTAGCACTGTTTTGCTGACATACTGCTTATTTATTAAAAAGATAAAATGCATAAATGTTACTATTACTATTTTAGTTCTTATAAACTTATCCACTAATAATAAACTATTTCAAAACACAAATATTACATTTTTCATGAAATAATTTAAATATTTTTAAAACATGAAATATTTTAACTGAAAAATATAGATGTATATATAAAGCTTATAAAAAAGGATAAAAAACTATGTAACTCATATAAAATACAATCATTTCACAATAATTAACTGTAGATATAAAAATGCTTTATAGTCAGAGATGTCAGACTTATTTTCAACAATGTAAAGAAATTAAAAGGCCTTATCAAAAACTTACTTTAACTATTATCTAACACAACAGGCATTCTTTCATTTAAAAATAAATAAGTCATTAATAACAAAATACCTAAATTAAAGTTTTAAATAGAATAAAAATAAAATCCATTTCCTAATTATGATTCTTATGAATTCTCATTATTTAAAAACTCAACAGAGAAAGCAGAAGGGAAACATATTTCAGGAAGAGAATAACTGTTCACTTTCAATTTATCTGATTTTATATTCAAAACAAAACATAAACTTAATGTAACCAAATACAAGTTGTTTTTCCTACCATTCAAATTTATTAGAAGTTATAATAAGAACCAGGGAGGAAGGACAGAAAGTATAGGTACAATGAAAATTTAAATGATGTCAGGATTAGAAATATTGTCTAACACTTATATCTCTTTTAAAATGTGTGCTTCTAAGTTCCATTCAGGCCACAACCTCTCTTTACAGAAGATTTCTTCTCCCCTACAGAGGGCAGGACAATGATATGCAGAAGACAGCTATACTATCAAATTCTCTGCTGTAGTGGTGAAGATGGCCTGGGTCAGCACTGGATCAAAGACATTTTTTGGTGTAAAGAGAAACCTCTGTATGCTCAACTGACATAAATATCCATTTCCAAGGTTGATTTGTCTAATGTTAAGACAGAAGACAAAACAATTAATTCTAAAAATTTCCAAAATGGGTCTTTAAAAGCTTTCTAATGTATTTAGATAGTTCTTGAAATTGCTATGTCCAGGGCCTTGGATAATCTCATCCTAGTGTACTCTATTATTCTCTGACAGGGAGGACTGAAAGGGAACAATCTGACCTGCAGTTAATCTTAGAGGATGTAGGGAAAAATATACGTACACTTTTCAGATATAACTATCTACATAAATTGGAAAGTTTTTAAACAATCATTTAAGTAAGATTCAAAAGACTCAGAAGTTGTTATTCTTATCCTAGTGCCATATGGAGATCTACAAATAAAAAATAAAAAAGTAAATACTGTGCTTCATTCCAATTCTGTTCTCTTCTCCAGAATCAGCCACAAATGCATTGCAAAAATATTTAATATACTTTGATACTGATATACACAAATATAGTAAAACAACACATTTTTATTAAAAGGTACTAAGCACTAAGGAGACAAATGTAGCAGAAACAGGAAGTACTAGAGTTGGTGGTGATGGTAGTTACSTTGATTATAAAACCTCTATTTTTAAAAAACCTTAGAGAGGAGTTTTAGGCTCACAGTCAAGTTGAGAGGAAGGTAGAGAGATTTCCCACAACACATGCATCACCTCTTCTATTATCATCACCCTGCAACTGTGTAGTGGTACTTTTCTTACAACTAATGAACTTCCACTGACACATCATCACCAAGAGTCTAATTAGGGTTCATTCTTGTTCTGTAATATTCTTTGTGTGAAAACAAATTATACTGACACATATCTATCATTATAGATAGTATTCATTCATTCACCATTATAGCTTTTCTGCTGTAAAATTCCTCTGTTCCCCACTCTGTTCATCCCTCCCTTCTTTCCTCCAACCCCTGACCAACTATTGATATTTTTACTCTCCACAGTTTTGCCTTTTCTAGAATGTCAGAGTGGAAATTACAAAGTATAACAGTCTTTTCAGATTGGTTTCCTTCACTTAGTAATATGCATTTAAGTTTCCTCCATGTCTTTCAAAGGTCTGAAATTATTTCTTTTTAACAGTGAACAGAATCCTATCTGGATGGATGTATAGCTGACTACTCTATGTGCTATTCTGTTGCACTGATCTGTCTCTTCTTTTGGTAATACTACACTGTTATGACTACTGTAGATTTATACTATGTCTTGAAGTCAGGAAAGATCAGTCCTCCAACTTTGCTCTGCTCCTTCAATACTGTGTTGATTATTCTGGTTTTTTTTTTTTTTTTTTTTTTTTGCCTCTCCAGATATATTTTATAGCCAGTTTGTTGATATGCACAAAATAACTTGTGGGATTTTGAGTGGGATAGCATGGAATCAACAAAAAGAACTGATATCTTAGGAACATTGAGTCTTCCTATCCCTGAATAACATGCAATATCTCTCCATTTATTTAGATTTTGATTTCTTTCATTAGTTTTGTAGTTTTCTAGGAATCTTATGTTTTATTAGATCTATACCTTAATATTGTTTTTTAACAGTGTTGATATACATAGTACCTTGTATAACTATTTGTATAAGCATAAATACAATGGTACTATGTTTAAATTTCAAATTACACTTGTTCTTTGCTGGTATATAAAAAGATTGTTGACTTCTGTCCATAAGTCTTATATTCTGCAACCCTGTTTTTTTTTTTTAAAGAGAGAGAGAGAGAGAGAGAGAGAGAGAGAGAGAGAGAGAGAATATTTCAATATTTATTTTTTAGTTTTCGGCGGACACAACATCTTTGTTTGTATGTGGTGCTAAGGACCGAACCCGGGCCACATGCACGCCAGGCGAGCGCGCTACCGCTTGAGCCACATCCCCAGCCCTGCAACCCTGTTTTAATAGCTCCATAGTTTTAGCTTCTGCATATAAGAGGAAACAAATGACATAATTTCATTCTTCTTTATGGCTGAATATAATTTCATTGTGTGTATATATATGTGCAGACACACACACACACACACACCATTTTCTTTATCCATTTGTCTACTGATAAACTGATGAGCACTTAGGCTGATTCCATAAATTGCTATTATGGATTGTGCTGTTATAAGCATTGGTATACATGCATTACTAAAGTATGCTGATTTTAGATCTTTACAACACCAAGGAGTGGGATAGCTGGATCCTATTGCGGTTCCATTCTTATCTGTTGAGGAATCACTATACTGCTTTGCAAAGTAGTTGCACTAATTTGCAGTTTCACCAACAATGAATGTGTATTTTTTCCCCTACATCCTCACCAGAATTACTGCTATTTGTATGCTTGATGATTGCCATT